GAATAAGGCTTCAGTGAACATAGGAGTGCATAGATCTTGCATATAAATGATTTTGAGTTTTTCTGGCATATACCCAGGAGTGGGGGTTTTGGGACATATGGTAGCTCTATTTTTAATCTTTTGAGGGATCACCAGACTGCTTTCCATAGTGGTTGTACCAGTCTACATTCCCACCATCAGTGAATGAGGGTTCCCTTTTATCCACAACCTCTCCAACACTTCTTGTTGCTTGTCTTGTTGATAATGGCTACTCTAACTGGTGTCTGGTAGTATCTCATTGTAGTTTTAATTTGCATTTCCCTGGTTGCCAGTGAGGTGGAACATCTTTTCATATATCTATTGGCTATTTGTATGTCTTCTTGGGAGAGGTGTTATTTTTAGGTCTTCTGCCCACTTTTTTTATTGGATTATTTATTTGTTTGGTGTTGAGTTTTACGAGCCTTTTATATAAATATTTTGGAAATTAAAACCTTGTCGGAGCTACTGTTTGCAAATATCTCCCATCTGGTTGGCTGCCTGTTTGTTTTGTTGTCCGTTTCTTTTGCTGTGCAGAAGCTCTTCAGTTTGACATAGTCCCATTCATTTATTTTTCCTTTACCTCCCTTGCCTTTGGGGTCAAGTCCATAAAATATTCTCTACCACCCAGGCCCATAAGTTTGGTACCTATATGTTTTTCTATGTGCCTTATAGTTTCGGGTCTTACGTTTACGTTTTTGATCCATTTTGAATTGATTTTTGTACATGGGGACAAACTGCAACTCCTCTGAGTTTGACATTTTTTAGATTCCACATGTAAGCGAGAACATATATTATTTGTCTCCCTCTGTCCAATTTCTCTCACTTAACATAATGCCCTAAAGCTTCATCCATATTGTCACAAATGTCAAGATTTATCTGGTTGTTTTTTCCTGGCCGGATAATGTTCTATTCTGTATGTGCCCAGAAAATGATAAACACCAACATACAGAGCATTCTAAAAATGATTATTTTCAGAGCAACACAGCACCAGACTGTCCCTTCAAAGATTAATGAGTTGAATCCAAGTGATGACATTTCTGGAGAAATGGCACAGTTGGTATCTGATGAAAACAGGAAAGGTTGTGGGATCCAAAGTGGGTATGAGGCATCGTTTTAAATTTATCTTTTCTAGGTTTGTATCTAATTCTGCCCAGTTATTAAGTTATTGAATCCAGGTAAAGTCCTATGAACTGAAGAGATGAAGACTCAATAATGTTCATCTGATAATGTGATGATAAAAAATAAAAAACATCTTGTCCGGCTGGCATGGCTCAGTGATTGAACATCAACTTAGGAACCAGGAGGTCATGGTTTGATTCCTGGTCAGTGCTCATGCCTGGGTTGTGGCTTGATCGGAGTGGGGGGCCTGCAGGAGGCAACTGATCAGTGATTCTCTCTCATCATTGATGTTTCTACCTCTTTCTCTCTCTCTCCCTCTCTGACATCAATAAAAACATTAAAAATAAAATAAAGAACATCTTATTATGTAAAAATATATAGATGTACTATAGAATTGTACACTTGAAACTTATATAATTTATTAAACAATGTCACCCCAATACGTGTAAATTTTTTAAACAACAACAACAAAAAGGTATAAGAGAGTATGAGCTTTTAGATGTGTGGACCCAAGCCAGTCATGTGGAATAAACACTCACATATTGGGGTAAGAAAAAAAGGGAGTCATCAGAGAAATTAAATCTCGGTATGGAGAGAAAATAGCTCTGTTTCCGGAGATGCAAGGATGGTTCAATATTCACAAATTAATAAATTAATAAACATGATACACCACATAAACAACATGAAGGATAAAAATCACATGATCATATCAATAGAATCAGAAAAAGCATTCAACAAAATCCAGCACCCATTGATGATAAAATTTTTTTTAAACTCTCAGCAAAGTGAGAATGGAGAATTACATGTACCTGGCCAATTTTCCCAACACCATTTATTAATGTTCAAGATATTAAAAATGGAACTTCCATTCAACCATTCCATTCTTTTTTTAAATTAAATCTTTATTGTTCAGATTATTACATTTGTTCCTCTTTTTTCCCCCCAGAACTCCCCTCCACCCAGTTCCTGCCCCACCCTCCGCCCTCACTCCCCACCCACTGTCCTCATCCATATGTGCACGATTTTTGTCCAGTCTCTTCCCGCATCTCCCATTCCCCTTTCCCCCCCAAGAATAGTCAGTCCATTCCCTTTCTATGTCCCTGATTCATTATAATCACCAGTTCATTCTGTACATCACATTATTTATTCACTTGATTCTTAGATTCACTTGTTGATAGATGCATGTTTGTTGTTCACAATTTGTATCTTTACCTTTTTCTTCTTCCTCTTCTTAAAGGATACCTTTCAGCATTTCGTATAATACTGGTTTAGTGGTGATGAACTCCTTTAGCTTTTCCTTATCTGTGAAGCTCTTTATCTGACCTTCAATTCTGAATGATAGCTTTGCTGGATAAAGTAATCTTGGTTGTAGGTTCTTGGTATTCATCACTTTGAATATTTCTTGCCATTCCCTTCTGGCCTGCAAAGTTTCTGTTGAGAAATCAGCTGACAGTCATATGGGTATTCCCTTGTAGGTAATTGAGTCTCTTTCTCTTGCTGCTTTTAAGATTCTCTCTTTGTCTTTTGCTCTTGGCATTTTAATGATGATGTGTCTTGGTGTGGTCCTCTTTGGATTCCTTTTGTTTGGGGTTCTCTGCGCTTCTTGGACCTGTAAGTCCATTTCTTTCACCAGGTGGGGGAAGTTTTCTGCCATTATTTCTTCAAATAGGTTTTCAATATCTTACTGTCTCTCATCTTCTGGCACCCCTATAATTCTGATATTAGTGCGCTTGAAGCTGTCCCAGAGGCTCCTTACACTATCTTCGTATTTTCGGATTCTTTTTTCATTTTGCTTTTCCAGTTGGGTGTTTTTTGCTTCTTCACATTTCAAATCTTTGACTTGATTCTTGCGCTCCTCTGGTCTGCTATTGAGTGTCTGTATAATCTTCTTTATTTCAGTCCGTGTATGCTTAATTTCTAGTTGGTTCTTTATCATAGCATCGAGGGTCTCATTAGTTTTCATGAGGCTCTCATCAAGTTTATTGGCAGCTTCTAGCACATTATTGCAAGCCCTCAAAATTGCGTTTTTTAGCTCTATATCCTCCATTTCTCTCATGTTTTTTTGTCTCCGCATTTTTTATGCTTTCTTGGTGCACCCCCTTGTGGTCTTTGTGCGCAGTCTTGTTCTAGTTAAGCCTTGATTGTTGTAGTTAATACTAGAGGGATTTGACCACCAGGCCGACGGACTGTGAGAATCAGCTGTGTCTGCCGCGGGAAAACTTCTGTCCTCTGGAGAGGTGCTAATCCAGCCTTTGCCTGAGGCGATCCGGCAAATAGCTCTGCGCAGGGCTTGGGTGGGGCGGGATTGACAGGGCGGGCAGAGGGAGCAGTTATGGCTGCTCTCAGTCCCGTTCCCAGAGGCTCTGCTTCTCAGAACCCCAGCAACTGCCGCAAACCTCGAGAGAAAGCTGCCCTCATGTTCCAACTGATGCCAGACAATCCCCCTTCTTCCATTTGAGTCTGAGTCCCTAGAGACTCGCCCGGATCTGGAGCTCAGAGTCTGAGACTCCCTTCTGATTGAAAACGACAACTGCGCCCTCAGCCACCAGCCCGCTTTGCGCGCGCACCACCGCACCTTTATATTTTCCACACTGCGCCTCCTCTGAGCCTCAGTATGCTGTTGTCTTTCCTTCTAGTTGAAGAGTCTCTCCTCAGCCAGCCTTCCTGTGGTTCTGGGTGATGTCCGTTCCATCTTTTAGTTGTATTTTTGAAGCGGTTGTTTGCGGCAGCAGTCTCTGGTGTTTACCTATGCCGCCATCTTGGTCTCTCCGACCATTCCATTCTTTCACAAATCTGTTGTTAAACTTCACAAATCCCTTCCCTCACCCCCAGCTTGGACTAGACTCCTACCTCTCATTTCTCTTCTCTACATGTGTTTGTGACTGACCATGGGTAGGCGATGAGTATGTAATAAATCCATATAAGCTGTTTAGCTAACATTTAGCACTCAATATTAGAATTTAATTACTGTTGGTATTTTATTTTTATTGACAAATATTGCACTTCTCTAGTTTATTGGTAATACGTGGCACGTCGGATTTTATAAGACGATCTGATTAAACAGTTTGCTTCTTATATATTCCCTTTGTGTTAAAGACATAACCCCATGCCCTTGTGTGGTGATCACCACACCCATGACCAGCCACCACCTCCCTCTCTCTTCCTCCCTTTCAAGCCATCTGTATGTGTCCAGGGGTCTCAAGAACATTCTAGAATGTTCTCACTCCACCTCTAGATCTCCACCTACTCACACCGCCTATCCTTCAAACACAGTCTAGACATGGTCCCAGTTGTTATCATAATTTTTTTAAATTTCCTCCTTTGTAAACAATGAATTACAACGTTAGCCTTAGAATACCCGAGTCTACTAATTAGAGTTCTCAAAATACAAGAAACGGATCTCCTGCATCACAGATGTATTTCTGGTACCTGGATAAATTCCTAGCAGGTGATTAGTAAATACTTGTTTATGGACCCATCAAGGACAGAAAGAGAATTCTTTTTGTGTGAGGCTGAGAAACAGCTAGTGAGATGCATATAGAGCCAGCCTGTTGAGGGTAGACTCAGGATGAGAACCTGGGTCCTGCCCTCTCTGAACAGGACTTCAGACCAGGCAGAGGATCCTGGGAGTCAGAAGAGACTTCAGATCTGAGAGTCTTCAGTGGCCTATAGTCCCCCTGAGTTCTCATCATGGAAAAACCCACACCCAGGCCCAGGGCCGGGTGGTCTTCTTGCTGTGGGTTCACAGCTCTGAGGTACCGGAAGGGTGGCAACAACTCCTGACCCACCACATCCTGTGTGTCTCTGTCCTTCAGGCCCAGGCCTCCTCCATCTGCAGAGCAGGAGCCCTCAGAGCAGACACCATGATGTCCATCCTCTCTGCTCTTCTCTGCCTCGGTCAGTTGTGGACACGGGGAGGGGGAGGAGGAGGGGACAGGGTGGCTATAACCCTTGTTCATAGGGAACCTCAGGCTCAGGCAGCTCGAGTAGATGGGGCCATGAGAAGAGAGAATGAGCTACAACGTCCAGGTGCAAACCTCTCACAGACACTCTCTTCCAGGGCTGAGTCTGGACCAGAGAACCTGTGTGCAGGCAGGTGAGTCCTCCCCAGGCTTCATGTCCCACCTGGTACTTCACCCCTGGGGCTCAGGAGGGAGCACAGAGGTCCTGGATGAGCTGGGGATGAGGGTGGGGAAGGGCTTTGTAATGCAGTTTCTGGTTTCCTTCCAGGGACCCTCCCCAAACCCACCCTCTGGGCTGAACCAGGCCCTGTGATCCCTTATGGGAGCCCTGTGACCCTCTGGTGTGAGGGGACCCTGGAGGCCCGGATGTTTCATCTCTACAAGGAAGGAAAACAGATGGATTGGAACACACCGAGCCAATGGAAGCCCACGAACAAGGGCAAATTCTCCATCACACGCATGGCAGAGCATGATGCAGGGAGATATCACTGTAACTACCTCAGCCCCACTGGCTGGACAGAGCACAGTGACCCCCTGGAGCTGGTGGTGACAGGTGAGAGGACACTCAGGGGTCCCAGCCTCGGGCTCTGCCCTCAGGGAGGGGGTCTGCTCTCAGGGTGTCTCCCTCTCACAGCCCAGCTCTGGGGGACATGAGGTCCATTTAACATACAGTCTCTGTCTCTCCTAGGATACTACCATGAACCCAGCCTCTCAGCCCTGCCCAGCCCTGTCGTGACCTCAGGGGGAAATGTGACCCTTGAGTGTAGCTCATGGCAGGGATTTCACAGGTTCATTCTGACTAAGGAAGGAGATCACAGGCTCTCCTGGATGCAGGACACACAGCCACAGCCCAGAGAAACATCACGGGCCAAGTTCTCTGTGGGCCCTGTGACCCCCAGCCACAGGTGGACATTCAGATGCTATGGCTGTTACAGAGAGAGCCTGCAGGTGTGGTCACCACCCAGTGTTGCCCTGGAGCTCCTGGTCCCAGGTGAGTCCCGTTATTGTCTCACCCAAGGATTGAGGCAGCAATCACATTATTGCGATCCTTGCTCTGAGGGGAACCCCATGGGAGAGGGTGGGGTGAGTGGAGCAAAGGGGCTCATGAGTCAGAAACATAGCAACAGTGAGACCTGGATGCCAGGATGGGAGAAGGAGGCTTATGGGAGGAACAACCCCTGTAACTCATGTCTGGTTTCCCCAGGTGAGTCTGGGAAGCCCTCCCTCCTGAGCCAGCAGGGCCCCATCGTGGCCTCTGGACAGAGCCTGACCCTTCAGTGTCGCTCTGCTGTCGGCTATGACAGATTTGCTCTGCACAAGATGGAGGGACGGGACCTCCTCCAGAGTCTTGTACAGCAGCCCCAGGCTGGGCTCTCTCAGGCCAACTTCCTTCTAGACACTGAGAGCAGCTCCCACGGTGGCCGGTACAGATGCTACGGTAGATACAAACTCTCCTCCAAGTGGTCGGCCCCCAGTGACCCCCTGGACATCCTGGTGGCAGGTGAGGAGCCAGTGGGTTCAATCAGGGACCCAGACTCTGCACAGGCTCTACAGGGGTCCCAGGTGGTGAGGCCAGAATGAAGGTGCAGGGCCCCAGGGAGGGAGAGAGACAGAGAGAGACAGGGGGTGGGAGGGGAGAGGGGGAGACTCAGAGAAACAGAGACAGACAGAGAGGAGGGTCCTCAGAGAGAGGCCTGGTGACTCTCGGGGCAGAACAAGGTGGGCAGGCAGCCCTCACCCTCCCTCCCTCTCTCTAGGACACCTGCCTGACAGACCCTCCCTCTCAGTGCAGCCAGGCCCCAGGGTGGCCTCAGGAGAGAACGTGACCCTGCTGTGTCAGTCACAGAGCCAGAGGGACATGTTCCTTCTGTCCAAAGAGGGGGCAGCTGTTGCCCCCCTGGGTCTGAGATCAAAGCATCAAGGTCAGCAGTACCAGGCAGAGTTCTCCATGAGTCCTGTGACCTCAGCCCATGGGGGCACCTACAGGTGCTACAGCTCACACAGCACCTCCCCCTTCCTGCTGTCACTCCCCAGTGACCACCTGGAGCTCCTGATCTCAGGTGGGGGCCCCTGACTTTGTGCTGAGCTGTCACCTCGGGGCCCTGTCTCTGGAGATTCTGAGACAGTAAGAAGTGCAGGAGCCCAGGGGTTTGCCATTGGCAGGATATTCTGAATCCCCTGCCACCAACCCTTCCTCCATGGACCCTGGGTCCTCAGTTGTCAACTTAGTGGGATCTCTCAGTTGTCGGTGTTTAGCCTTATCAGTTCTGTGTCTCCAACGAGACACGAAACACACAATTCCAAATTATTTCTGCATTGAGAACATTGTTCTCCATCATCCTCAACTCGAGAAGTATAGCTCTTACTGAAGTCACTCAGAACAAGTCCTGAACTCAGGGATCACAGGAGGCTGAGGTATCCAATGAAGAGCCCATGGAACCTGGCCTAGTAGAGACAGGCTCATGGAGGGATGGTGTAAAAGTCATCATCTGAGAAGTGGGGCATCTGAGAGCACTGGGCCCAGGAGGAAAACTCCTGTCTCCCCAGGTCCTCACTCACACCCTCATGTCATGATTCTCAGGAGCAGCTGACACCCTCAGCCTGTCACCAAATAGGTCAGACTTCAAGATGGGTGAGTGGGAGACATCCCAGTTATGGGGCTGGGGTAGAGGGTCATGTCCTGTCAAAGGGAGGTGGTTGTCCTGGGTGGACATCCAGGGTTCCTGGGGTGACTTTGGTCCGCTCTGATCTCTGTGACCTCTTTGTTCACCTCCCACCCCCAAGACTACACCATGGGGAATTCCATCCGGATGGGCGTGGCCGGCTTGGTCCTGGTGGTGCTTGGGATGCTGCTATTTGAGGCTCAAAACAGCCTGAAAAGGACCCACAATGCAGCCAAGACGTGAACACAGAGGGAACAGTGCACTATTCAGAGAAGAGGGGCGCCTTGGAGCTCATCTCATGATCCCAGGAGGTGCTGAAGGAAAGTCGGGATCATAGTTGGAGAAACTGTCTTCTGAGAATGTCCAGGGGAATAAACTTGATTTGGGTGAAGCAAATATCTGTGTGTTCCCTGGACTCTTCCTCCATTTAATGTCTATTTTTTCTCCCTGTCTTGGTTGACTTTCTGTGACAACCCCCCTTCTTTTCTCAACCCTGTGACTTGAGGGTCCATCCCACATGGCTGGTGTGGGTCCCCACATCTAACACCTTATTCCCCACCCTCCACGTTCGTGTAATAAAATAGTCTTTATTTCTAATCACCACAGTACCAGATGGGCATCATCGCTTCTTCATCTCTTCAGTTCACAGGGGTCAACCTGGGCTCCATAACTGAATAAATGGGCTAAGCCAGGTGCAAGCTAGGAATTAAAACTCCAACATGATGCCCAAACCCTGTCTGGACCCACAGTCCTTCCTCTCTTCATGAGATGCACCCGTGTCATTTCCCCAGAGCTGTCCCCATGTGGCATCAGCACATCGGTGTTTGTGGGGATGGTCTGGGGGAGTGCTGCCCCTACAAGCACATGTGTAGAATGCTCTGACTGGTGGGAGATGCCTATTTCTGAATCGACATAAAATTAAATATTACTCAGCCACAAGAGAGAAGGAAATCCTGCCATTTGTAATGACCCTGAGGGACCTGGAGGGCATTATGCTACGTGAGATCAATCAGACAGACAAAGACAGATGCTGATTAATCTCACGTACGTGTGGGATCTGAAAAAGCCAAACTAGTAGAAACAGAGAGAACGATGGTTACCACAGGGAGTGTGGGGAAAGGAGAGATGTTGGTGAAAGAGTATCATCTTTCAGTGATAAGATGAACAATTTGGGGGGCTAATGTACAGTATGGTGATCATGGTAAACAAACTGTATCATATTACCCCAAAAGTAGCTAAGGGATTGTATCCTAAAGGCTCTCACCACCAAAAAAAAGAAGCAATTATGTGACTTTTTAATGGGATTGTTAGCTAAGGCTGACCTTGTGTCATATTGCAATATTTACATGTAGCACACCCACATGTTGTCACCTAACCCTTACACAATGTTATATGTCAATTACATCTCAGTAAAGTTGGGAAAAGTTACCCTTGGGCCTGATGTAAGAAAACCTTACCTAGAGAGCAGGACAGGTAATGGAGACTGATAATAGCATGTGTTGGGAAGTTGCAAATCTATACACCTACTTATGTATCCCTTTGCATAATATTTGTGTGTCTATGTATCTGTGTTTCAGTCTATCTATCTATCTATCTACCATCTATCTATCTCTACCTCCATCTGTCAATGGATCTCTCTCTTTTCTCCAGACTCTAATAAAATTAATTTCTGTTGTCTTCAGCCACCTAATTAATTGTATTTTGTTGTGGCAAATGTACCAAACTAATTCACTGTGTCTCATTCTCACTTCCCCTCTCTCTTCTCTCTGATCTCTGATAGAAGAAACTGTGGTTTGACTCATACACTGCTGGAACTGATCAGCAGACTCTGAACAACGAATGAATGGATTACTCTGATACATGTTTCTGTGAAAGAGAGGGCTAAGGGACTGCTTGGCTATAGCAACCAGGAAGCCCCATTCGCCTGCCTCCATAGGCTTTTATTGTAATAACAGTTTGAACTAAAATAAACTACTAGATACTATCAGAAGGGTGAGCATCCTTGAGAAAGCATATGCATCCTTTGTGCAAGGACCTTTGGAAGTCTAAACATAAAGATTCCAGCAAAACACCCGGAGACTCAGACTTGTTTGGAAAAGTCAAGGCAGGGTCTGCCGCCTTCAGCAAGGTTCCCCTAGAGGCCTCCGGCCTATCAGAGAACCCTCCTTACAGACTTTAACCAAGTCCCGTGCTTCCCCACAATGCACACACAAAAAAATGATTTCCATAAAACAACAAACACTTGATATTGTAGTTTTCCTTCTCTTCTAGAGATGCAGAATCCAGCTGCCCACTCTGCTTTTTGTTGTCAGGAGAGTTATATGTGCAACTAGTAGAAGGCCTAATAGAGAGAATTTCATATTTCAGCTGAAAATTGTTTCATATCCTTAACCATTTTATTCATTAGCTTAGCACCAGAATACTATAAATGGAATAATTGTTTTGACTTTCACATGACAGTGAGCTACGTTAAAATCAATATGTGATTGTAGAGTTTAAGAAAACTAAATGGGCCAGATCAGAGATGCGGCTCAAGTCAGACCCTCAGCATCTGCTATTTTGGGGGCGAGGAGAGCTGGTCTGCTTCCTGTGTGACCAGCACCTTGTGCCCTGCACACACTGTGGTGTGGGGACCCTGCCCACCACATCCTGTGAACTTGCCTCTCACGCTTCGCCTTAACAACTGAAAAATAAGTCATCAAAACCTCTGCTATAAAAACTTCCACGGGGAGTTCACCCCTTTTCCTGACGAATGAAGAGAGCAAACCTGATACCACAAAGTTGTCATCACAAAATCCATAGGTCAAGACAGCTCATCTTTTTCAAGAGGTCGAGCTGACCCAGACCTGGCCCAGCCTTAACCAGGAATGTGGGTGTGTATCTAGGACGTTTATCTTAAGACCATGGACCACCACCATCTCCCCTAATTCTCCTCTATGTGTATGTTGATCCTCTGCCGTGATCGTATAGTGGTTAGTACTCTGCGTTGTGTATGTTGATCCTGAGAGGTGCTGTGAATTCAGCACTGGGTCCTGGACAGCTCCAGCCCCATCCATAGGGCACCTAGATTTTTTCTCTTTTCTAAAGTCTCTTCAATTTCATATAAAAGGGACAAGAACTACCCTATACTGATAAAAGAGAAATATGTAAATTGACCATTACTTCACAATGCCCACAGCCAATCAGGAGTGAGTATGCAAATTAACCCAACAAAGATGGTGGCAGCCCGGCTGCTCACGGCCTCCCTGCCATGCTCCACACCTGTCAACTGTCCTTGCAGCCTCCCTGTGGCCCAGAACCTCGGCCTCAGAGGCAACCCTCTGGTGCCTGAGGTTGTAGCTCCCGGTGTCTGGTGTCTCCCTCTACCCCACCCTTGCCCCACTGCTCTGGTAAACAAAACCCTAGCATTGGAGCAGCCCCACGGATGCGTGCAGGAGCTCACTCAGTGCACAGTTAGCTCTCCCTGGGAGCCACGAGCCAGCCAAGGGGTGACGGTGGCAGTTGAGGCAGCAGCAGGCGGCTCAGCTTTGTTTTGAATAGATGAAAGAGGCCACCTACACAGTAACCCAAATTATCAGATTTCCCTCCTCCCTATCTCGCCAAATCAAGAGGGGAGTGGTGATGGGCATGGAAGGAGGGCTGGTGGGCAGGAGATGGAAGGCTGAAGAGAAGAGAAAGAGGGTGAGGAAGGGGGCCAATTGCATCCTACTTTCACAATGCGAAAGTGAAACACACTCAACCTCTCCAGTCCTCCCCGCCTGCCTCGCTCCCCCCACCTGTTCCCCTCCACGCCTTCTCAGGAGCACCAGCACTGCACAGAGGAACTCTCCAGAGAAGGACAGCGAGGAGGAAGCAGCGCCAGAACTGCACAGGCTGCCAGTGCGAGCCCACCGCGTGCTGGCAGCCAGGGGAAGGAAGGCCTATTCTTGTACGAATCTTTGTGCATCGTGCTTCTAGTGAGTATATGACTTACATATGTTTTATGTAGAATGTTTTCTAGGTCTTTATATTTTAAAGGGTTTACCTTCACTACAAGTATATTTTAATCTTATGTAGACATTTTATCCTCTTGCTGTGTTTAGCATCAAGAACATGTTCACCCCTTGCCAGTTTTTCTCAGTGGTTAGAACATCATATCACACTCGGAAGGGTCAGGGCTTCAAGTCCCGGTTAAAGGCATGTACCTGGGTTACAGGTGTGATCCCAGCCCCCATCCAGGCATGTGTGAGAGGCAATCAATTGATATGTCTCTCTCACACTCATGTTTTTCTCTCTCCCCCTCCCTTCCTCCTTTCCACTCTCTCTGAAAAAAAAGAATCAATAGAAAAAAATATCCTTGGGTGAGGATTAACCAAAAAACCAATAAAAAGCCCTAGTTCAGCGGTTCTCAACCTGTGGGTCACGATCCCTTTGGCGGTCGAACGACCCTTTCACAGGGGTCGCCTAAGACCATCCTGCATATCAGATATTTATATGACGATTCATAACAGTAGCAACATTACAGTTTGAAATAGCAACGAAAATAATTTTATGGTTGGGTCAAAACAGGAGGAACTGTATTTAAAGGGCCAGAAGGTTGAGAACCACTGCCCTAGTGGATAGAGTGTCGGCCTGTGGACTGAAGGGTCCCAGATTTGATTCTGGTCATGGGCAAAATACCGGGTTGCAGGCTCGATCCCCAGTGTGGGGCATGCAGGAAGCAGTCTCTCTCATCATTGATGTTTCTATCTCTCTCTCTCTCTACCCCTCCCTTCCTCTCTGAAATCAATTTAAAATATTTTTTAAAAATAATTGAAATAAATTAATAAAGGGTCAACACACAAAACTTGTTTTCAGCCACTCACCCACAGGCAGAGGGAGGATGTGAAGACTGGACTCACCCATGGAGAGTCTGGGGTGTCCGGCTTTGGGGAGAGGTGTGGAGGCTCAGCCACCCGGACCCGGTACTAGAGCATCCACCAATACCATGGCCGCCATTCTTCTTGGGAGGAGCAATCAATCCACTCCAAGCAGCATCAGCCTGAGGAAAAGCAACGACCTCCACTTTCCAGCATCCGCCCCACCCAGCACTTGAAGTCCTACTGAGGGGTCAGCAGCATAGACTGGGGCTCAGAAAGCTGGGCAGTGGCAGGGGTTGTCCCTGACTGTCTTTGGGATGGGGCCATTCCCCCCACTTTCCAGAGAACT